GCTTAGAATAGAATAGTTAGAGTCAATACTGAGGGCTTTGGCATGAAGTGAAGCAGAGCTGGAATTCTCTAAGGGTGGTGCCATCAGCGTCACCTGGGAACTTGTTAAAAATGTGCATTCTCTCCAGCCCAGATCTCCTGAGTAGAAGCTCTGAGATGGAGCCCATCAATCCAGACTTTAACCAACCTTCCAGGCAATTCTGATGCATGCTCCAGTTAAGAACCACTGGCCTAGAACACCTCCCAAGCCCTTCAAGTCTCCTGGAATTGAAACCATCAGAAGTTATAATACACCAAGAGCACCATCCCCTCTGTTGCCTGGGTTCCACCCACAGACCCGTGGTGCCCAATTTGCTTAGCTCCCCGCAATCTCATAGTAAAGTTTCCTCATGGAATCAAGTTACCATGCGGAATGCACACCTGCGCAATGATGGTTATCACTTCTTTCCCCAAAACATTAAACTTTTTTTAAAAAAGGGGAAAATGTCTCAAGAACACCATCATTGAAGTATTTAATTCCAATGATCATAATCACCCATTTCTCTACATGTGGCTCTCACCCTGGCATAAATGGAGCATAAAGGGCATAAATGAAGCTAAAAAAAAAAAAAGAAAGAAAGAAAAAGTCAAAGATTCTAATTGATGCACTGCAACACTTTTTACTGCTTCAGAACCCTCCCTGAAAATTTACCCATCTGCAGGAAAATCAATTAAACTTGAATAGGAAGAATTTGAGTAAAAATATTGGATACTTTTTACTTTAATCTTCAGATTAAGCATGATTTCCACTCGACATTATCATCGAAGAGAAGTTCTTCCTTGGTATTTTTGCATGCTTAAAATTTAGCCCAGTCTTTGAAAACCCTTTCCAGCTTCTGGCTAAGCAGAACCTTGCCACTCACTTTGAACTTGCCAGCAAGGAAAGCCTTCTGTGGGTTCATTTTGCCCAAAACCATCTCCATAAAGACGGGCTCCGGGATTGTAAAGACAGTGTCTGCTGGGAGCCTGGCAGGTCCCGGATACATGTCCCCAGAACCATTCTTGAGATCAATGGTCCACTGCAGAATGATCTTCCCATCTTTGGTGATGTCCAGCTGAAAGATGGCATTGACTTTCTTGACCAATTGAGCTCCCACTTCCCTGATGTGAAGCCTAATGTCCTCAAACACCGAGAAGCTCTCGAGTTCTGACAGCTCTAGAGGATGTGGCATGGCAGGTTCTGGAACTGAACCCAGAACCTCGAATTGGCCAGCCAGAGGTCCATCCTCTGCTTTGATCTTGGGTTGATGGCCACTTCTCTTCCACATCTTCCTGTGCTAGTCCCCGGACCTTGCCATCTGGTCCATGAGCAACTGTGACCAGATTAATACCCACAGGTCAGATTGTGACGTCAAAGGTAAGGCCAAGTGGAGACTGAAGCTGGTGTGTGTGCTAGCATCTTATTGGCCAAACAAATGCTAACGTGTGACATCAGATAAGGGCTCAGACAGGCCATTGTGAGGCAGATCCACACACACACACCCCTCCCAAACCAATCAGGGATGTTGGTCCTGCAAGCCCAAAAGGTCTGCCCCCTGCAATGGGGATAAGAGAAACTGGCCCCAGAAGCTTCTTTGGTGACATGAACTCTGTCTTTCCAATGCAGACATCTCCTCGGTGAAACCCTAAGTGAGACAGAAGTTATTCTTATTCCTCTAAAAGTGGGTAATACTTAAGTCCCATTAAGTGGGTAATACTTAAGTTAAGGTAATACTACAGATCCTGACACTGAATTTGGCTTTATCTGGCTGCTGGTAGAAAGGGAAATGCTTTTAGGCCAGAGTAATCAATTGGAGAAGGAATCAGCCCAGGGGCCTGCATCAGAAACTTTCCAGAAGCACAGTGAGACACACACAGAGAGAGTAAATGTCCCTAAGATCAGAAGATGCTGCCAGTCTCCTCTGATAACTGCACATAATAGTATAGCCCTTACGCTGGGCCAAGGTGCAGAGTTCTAAGTACTGCACATGTATTAACACATTTAACTCTCATTACAACCCCCTATGATAGGTAACTTTTTTTTTTTTTGAGACAAGGTCTCGCTTGGTCACCCAGGCTGCATGATAGTGGTGTGATCTCTGCTCACTGCAGCCTCCGCCTTCTGGGCTCATTTGATCCTCCCACCTCAGTCTCCCAAGTAGCTGGGAATACAGGCAAGCACCACCACACCTCGCTAATTTTTGTACTTTTTGTAGAAATGGGGTTTCACCATGTTGCCCAGGCTGGTCTCAAACTCCTGGGCTAAAGTGATCCACCTGCCTCGGCCTCTCAGATAGGTATTCTTTTTATCCTCATTTTACAAATAAGGAAACTGAGGAGAGAAATGAAGTAACTTGCCCAATGTCATACAGTTAAGCAAGTAGTGTAGCCAGATTTGAAGAGAGGCAGAATGACTCCAAAGTCCACCTGTTTATTTCTTTACCTTTTATTCTGAAATAATTTCAGCCTTATAAAAAGTGTGCAAAAATAGTACCTGTTTAACCTGCTCCCAGCTTTCCCAAAAGCTAACATCTTCTATAACCACAATACAGTGATCTAATCTGAGAAATTCACATTGGTTCATGACTACTAACTAATCTACAGACCATAGGAGGCCATATCCATCTGGTTTCAGGTCTCCCTAGTGCCTTGCAGTCTGGGACGGCTCTTCGGTCTTTGTCTATCGTTACCTTGACACTTGAATACTGGCCAGTTATTCTCCAAAATGTCCCTTCTTTGAAGACTGCCTGATGCTTTCTCCTGGTTAGGTGGAGGTTATGCCTTTGGGACAAGAATACCACAAAGGTGACCTGTGCTCTTCCCACTGTGCCATAGCAGAGGTTCATGATGTTACGTCCCATTTCTGCCGATGTCGTCCTTGATCACTTGGCTAAAGCGGCTCCTTCAGGCTTCTGTACTGCGGAGTTGCTGTTTTTCCCTTTGTGATTAACATCTTTGGGGGAGGAGCCTCGAGACCTTGCAAATGGCCTGTTTTGCATCATCCTCTGGCCCACTTCTGTCGCATCCATCCATGGTCCACCCCTGCAGCAATCAGTGTGATGTAGGCCTAGCAGTCGTTTTCTATGTGTCTTACTCCCTTGAGGTTTAATAACTGGAATTCTGCTCTAAGGGAAAACACCCTCTTCTCTCCCGTTTCTTTATTTGTTCAATCATTTATTTATCTCAGCATGAATTTGTGGGTATTTGTTTATTCTGCGGGTCATCATCTATTATTATCATTGTTTATTTTCTTGCTAAATTGTCTCAGATTTGTCCATAGGGAGCTTCATCAAGTTGGAGCCTGTATCTTTCCTACACCAAACTGCTCTTACGTGTAAGCAAAGTTCCATTATATGGAGTTGCTGGAAACTTTGTCCTTTCTGGGAATGATGCAGAAGAATGAAAAAGGCTTCAAAGTACTTTTGCAAAGATGGATGAGCTGGTGTTATCAATGTCGAGCAGTTAAACAAAGCCCTGTCTTCCAAAACCATGTTCTTGCCATGAGGTCACCAGGTATGGACAACATCAGCACAGCGATTTTAAAATGAGGAGGGCAAGAGTTCCCTAGCAAGTTCACTATAAGCAGCCAACAGAGAACTGAGCCCCACCACTGCCCATATCTCATTTTCCTCAAGGACAGTGTTGTCCCCTCTAAATTACTCAGGCAAGTCCCCAATGGGGCTTTCATTCTCCTGCCACAGTGTGTCAGAGGGGAACGCAGTTCCACAGCTCATACATAAGAAATCCAAAACACACCAGGACTCAAGGGAGCACTTCCCCAATGACATTGTTTAGAATTGTCCTCCAATAGAAATCATAAAAGTAGACACAATGTCTAGTCAGTTTTATTATTTAAATTCTCAACAGGTACCGCTGCCTTGTTATCTGCACCGTGGCAGGCTGCTTCTCCTACCTTGACTGCCACACCATTGGCATCTTGAAAACACGCCGCCTCTAAGTGGACACAATCTTCCTCTGCCTTGTTGAGATTCTTTCCCCTTCGGTTGCCATTCAGACCCAAGAATCTGGTCCTGGCAGATTTGTAGCTTTTCGTTTCTGAATTCTTCAAATGCTTTAAAGGAATGTGAGAGGCGTAGAGATCTGTTCCCTAAAAAATACAAATAAATTAAAATTTAAAAATAAAAAAATTGCAAAGCCATTTTATTAAGTAGGCTGCTTTTAGCTTCAAGTAACAACCACTACCATAAAAATTAATGATGGTTCAATTCAGTGGTCCCAGAGTGGGGTCCCCAAGCCTGTGGCATCAACTCCACCTAGGGATTCTTTGGAAATGCACATTCTCAGGCCCCACACCAGATCTGCTGAATCAAAAACTCTGGGGATGGGACCCTGCTGTATTCATCAGGATTCTCCAAAGAAAAAAGAACCAATATGACATAGAGAGAGAGAGAGATAAAAGGAGTTATTATAGGAACTGGGTCACATGGTTTTGGAGGTCAAGAAGTCCCACATGCAAACGAGGGACACAGCCAGGGGGTGTAATTCATTCCAGGTCCGAAGGCCTGGACTGGAGGATGTTGGGGGTTGGTGTAAGTCCTGAAGACCAGGAGCCCAGATGTCCAAAGGCAGGAGAAAATCCACATATCAGGCCTGTAGAGAGGGTGAGTTCCACCTTCCCTGACTTTTTATCCTATGAAGACCCTCAGTAGATGGGATGATGCCTCCCACATTGGGGAGGGCCATCTGCCTTACTCAGTTCACCAATTCAAATGTGGTCCCCTCTTTCTAGAAATACTTCCATGGACACTCTCTGAAATAATGTTTTACCCCTGGTCTGGGGATCCCATGGCCCAGTCAAGTTGACACATAAAGTGAACCATCATGCCAGCAATCAGAGTTATAACAAGCCCTCCAAGGTCTGAATATTGGGTTTTTCAGTGGCTTGGAGAGGTCAGCCAAGATCTCTGTGCTGTGTCCACTCTTGCATTCTACCGTCCTCAGTGTGTTGCCTTTGGTCCCCAGCTTGTCACTTCACATCTGCTGGGCTGCCATGGCTCCTTCCATCACATCCTCACAAGACAGCATCCTAAGCCAAAGGGACAAAAAAAGGCCTCTCCTTGGACCTATCACTTACCAGAAAGAAAAGGTACCAAGGCCTCCACTGGTCTCATTGGCAAGGACTGAATCACATGCCCATCAAGATTCACACCCCTGGGCAGGGCTCCCCATCCCTTGGACAGAATTGGAGTTGGGGTAACAGGAAAGAAAAGGGTGTTACACAGCGACAAATGCCCACCACAGGTACCCACAGCCTCTTCCCTTGCTCCTTGGAAGGCCACAAGGAGAAACCCCATCATTTTAGAGAGCTTTGGTGTCATTACATTTCAATAATCAAAGGTCATTTCCCCTTTTGCCAACCTCCTCATTGGCAACAAAATGTGCCTGGGGGCTTTCTTTCTGAAAGTTTACAGATCCATCTCCCACCTGCCAACCCAGCACCTGGGCAGTTGTATTCACTCACAGGTGTCGGGCTGGCAGATGGGTCTAACAGAATGGGGGAAGGGGATTAAGAAGTGTCACCCAGCCCCATCCCCTGAATGGGAACAAATCTATGTTACCAAGTTTACCCTTGCCCTGGGGCCTCAGACAAGGTGCCTGCACCTGGTTGTCAGATGCAGTGAGGGGAGAAGGAAAGGACTTTCCCCTTTTACTTTATGTATTCTGCTTTTGTTTGTAATGAGCATGCACTCACTCTGTGGTTTTTTAATTGAATACAATTTTTCCAACATCCTATTCTTGAAAGTTTTAGGCACATTTTGCAAAGTTGAAAGATTTCTACAGTGAACACTCAAATATTCACCAATATCTTATCGTTGCATTATATTACACTTGTTTGAAGCTCTCCATCTTATTTTTATCTTATTTTTATGTTTCAAAGTAAATTAAAGGTATCAGTAGTCCCCAAACACTTGAGCATGCAAAGCATTTACTACAGTTCAATATTTGTTTAGTTTTTAATATAAAATTTACACACAAAGCAATGCACAAATCTTAAGTGTACATTTGCTGAGAGTGGACCAATGCACACACCTGAATATAACACATTTTAGTACTAAGTATCTGAACTCCATGTGGCCCACAGCCCCCACTTGCCTTGAGCATGGAGCCGTCTGCAGTGTGTGGAGAAGCATGAAAAAGCAGGAGGTGGGGTTTCTTCTTCACTCATCAGGTGGAAGGCTGCTTCCTGGCAGCATGGGGCTGTCACCATGAGTCCCTGGAGGAAGGTCTGAACGTGTCTCTATCAAAGACCCAAAGACCAGAGGCATAAACCAGGATCTCCACATGGAGAAGACATCATACCTTCTGCGCCTCGACAAAGATGGGAAATCAACTTTTATGAACACCTCTGAAGGCTAAAATCTTTGTTCTGTGTGCCATCTGGTTTCCAGTAGGACCATCACCCACTTCCCTGGCCCCTGCTGAGTCCAGCCACATTTTTAACAATGCTGGGGTCTGGCCTGGGTCCCAGAAATACTCACAGGATTGATGGTTCAATTGCGGGTTGGTAAGTACCAATCCTGCCCAACATAATGAGCTGGAGCCTGCATGGGATACAGAGAAGGGCAGATACATGATCCCTGCTCCCAGAAACTCAGAACATGGGCAAGAGAAGATGCACACAAGTTTAAAAATCCAACTATGAGAAGAGATGATAATAACTGCTTAGGGAAGAAGACAGTGAGTAGCATGTCAGGATCCCCATTCTGCACACTCAACAGCCAGCAGCCTCCTGTCTGAAACTTACATCATTTCCTGGAATCTTTTTTGTCTGCCCCCAGACAGAGAACCTGAGATATGAATTCAAAGTAGTTTATTTGTGAGATAAAGTTGGAGGAATGCAGAAGTGAGATGGAGAAGGGAAACCAGCCAATGGAGGGTGTGTACTCAAGAAGTTACCCTGGGCCACTGGAGTTTAATCTTGCAGGAAAACTCTAGGAAACTCATGTAAGACAAGTTAACCCCACTCCCATGAGGGACAGAGGAGCTGGGACTTATCCACCCACTCCATCAGCCACTGCTCCCAGGACATTAATTCCAGCATGCAGAGATGGGAACAAGGCAGGTGTCAATGGCCAGAGAAAGCCCTGGGGCAAGTGCAGCCAGCTGGGAGCCAGGCTGTGGGCACCACTGTGTTGGGGGCAGGGTATGGGTGGTGCATCAGTAATGCCTGCCATACCCAAGGATCACCAAAATCTGCTTTAGGATGGCATGTCTCTGGCCCCATTACATCAGAAAATAAATGGACTCAAACAGCATATAGCAGGAAGACACAAAAGACTACATACCATTTGCTTCCATTTCTATGAAGTTCTAGAAGAAGCAAACTAATCTATAATGATAGAAGGCAGAAGGCAGATTCATGGTTGCCTGGGACGGAGGGTTGGGGGATTTTCAGGGACTTTCTAGTATAATAGGAATGTCCTGTAGCTTGACTGCAGTGACAGCAGCAACAGGAAACCTGTTCAGAGGCAGTGGTGAACAATTTTTTTGTATTTCATATGGCTTCAGGGAATGGCATGTATTACTGTGGGTGAGGCTCTTATCGAAGTAGAATTTCACCTCTTACTCTGTTGATGCAAAGACTGTGATAGGTCAAATTACAGGTCTTAATCCATTACACCTGTAGTAGGATTATTCATCCATAACCTTTCCATGGCTTCACTGTAAGTGGAGCAAAATTCCCCACCCTTATGAAGGTGGCTGTGTCTGTGGGGTTTGCTTTGGCCAGCGGGATGTTATCGGACATGATGTGAGCAGAGGCTTGAAATGTCCTTGTGCAGTGGGGCTTTCATGCTTGTGCTTCTGCCATGGCCATGACAAGATCATGCCCTAGGGAGCTGCTGGTCCAGGGAGGACGAGACACGCGTGGAGCTGACCTAAATCAGCCAAGCAGGAAATTACCATGTAGACCCATGAGAATAAATTCTGCTCATTTTAATCCTCTGAGTTTTTAAGTGGTTTGTTACTCAGCATTACTGTGGCCCTAACTGACTGTGGTAAGGTCCAAAAAAAGTAATAGCTGGGCTTGCAAACCAGTTCTTATGGGCAAAGTCTTCAGTACTTAGACAAATCTTACTGAAGTTACAGCCTGCAGTCTTTCCACACAGCAGACAAATAGACACATTCAGTGCTAGGGCTTGGCTGAGATGATGACATAACGTTCCCTACCTAAGTCAGGCTCCACACACTCAGTTGCTTTTGTCTACACACTTGCTACTTAAAATGTTTGTGGACCAGCATCAGTGGCATCCCTGAGAGCTCGTTAGAAATATGGAATCTCAGACCCCACCCAGACCTGCTTAATTGGTGTCCACATTTTAACAGGATGCCCAATGACTCCTCTGCTCATTAAAATGTGGGCTATACTGAACTACAACACGAAGATAGAGAGATTAGATAGAGATAGATGATAGATATAGATATAGATAGTTATAGATGATATAGATATAAATATGATCACCCACATACCTGCTGCATTCTCGCTGGTTTGAAAATAAAAACTATCTCATAATTTGTCTTTAGGTTAAAGTTTACGACACACACGCGGCCGGGCGCGGTGGCTCAAGCCTGTAATCCCAACACTTTGGGAGGCCGAGACGGGCGGATCACGAGGTCAGGAGATCGAGACCATCCTGGCAATACAAAAAAATTTAGCCAGGCGAGGTGGCGGGCGCCTGTAGTCCCAGCTACTCGGGAGGCTGAGGCAGGAGAATGGCGTGAACCCGGGAGGCGGGGCTTGCAGTGAGCTGAGATCTGGCCACTGCACTCCAGCCTGGGCAACAGAGCCTGACTCCGTCTCAAAAAAAAAAAAAAAAAGTTTACGACACACACGCACACACACACACACACGGGAAAAACGTGATTCAAACTAAGAAGAAACATTTAATTTAAACATTTTCAAGTAAAAATGTTTTTTTTTCTTCATTTGCTTTTTTATTAATAGATTATTCTTTAGAGCAGTTTTAGGTTTATAGAACATTTGAGAAGTACAGAAAGCTCTGAAACACTTCATCTCCCTGCTCCCCTGCTTAGTTTCCCCTATTTTTAATATCTTGCCTCAGTGTGGTACATTTGTTACAACTGATGAGCCCATATTGATACATTATTTTTAATTAAGGTCCACAGTTCACATTAAGGTTCACATTTAGTGAGGTGCATTACATGGGCTTTGCCAAATGCATAATGTCATGTATCCACCACTCCAGTATCATACAGAGCAGCTTTACTGCCCTAAAAATCCTCCGAGTTCTGTCTATTCATCCTTCCCTCCTCCCTAACCTCTGGCAATCACTTATCTTTTCACCGTCTAAAGATTTGTCCTTTCCAGAATGTCATATAGTGGAATCATACAGGATGTGGCCTTTTCAGATTGGCTTCTTTCACTTAGCAATATGCATTTAAGGTTTCTCCATGTTTTCTCATATCTTGATAGCTCATTTCTTTTCATTGCTAAATAATATCATATGACTACAACACAGTTTATCTATTCACCTACTGAAGAACATCTTGGTAACTTCCAGCTTTTGTCAGCTATTTAAAAAGCTGCTATAAACACTTGTGTGCAAAATTTTGTGTGGACAGAAGCTTATGCTATTTTATAGGTTTTTTTAAATATCGAAGTATGTAACAACTGAGCCAATTATTGATATTATTATTATTATTGTTGTTAACATTTACTGAGCAATAACAATCCTCCAAGCACTGTAGTAAAGTCCTTTAAATCTCATAACATTCTGGGGTAGTTACTAACGTTGTTCTCACCTTAGAAATGAGGAAATTGAGAGGCTGGGTAGCTTGTCCAAAGACACATAGCTAATTACTTTGAACCCAAGAGTTTATGGGTTTTGACATTTCAAAACCATAATTTTTGTTTCACTTGATCCTTCTGGAATAATGTTTGTTGTTGAATTGTTATTACGTATTAAGAAATAAAATGTATCTTTAAAGAAAGAGGTTTCCACCCCCTTCGTGAGTGTCTCTCTTACAGGTAGGTATTTCTACAATTAGAGGAATCCAATGCAACTGACCAAGAAGCACATGCAAAGGTGCTCAACATCATTAGTCATTAGGGAAATTTGAATTAAAACTATAATAAAATTTCTCTTCACACCCACTAAAATGGCTAAAATTGGAAAAACTGGCAATGTCAGATGTTGGTGAGGAGATGGAGCAACTGGAACTCTGTGCTCTTTTAATAAGAGTGCAAAATGATGCTGCTTCTGAAGCTGACGGCTTCGTATTGTTACATAATTAAATACGGACTTACCATACAATCTGTTGTTTCCACTCTTAGTTATTTATGCAAGAGAAATATGTATGTCTACAGAAACACATACAATGAGTGTTCTCAGCAGCATTACTCATTAAAGCAAAACACTGGAGATGATCCAAATCTTTTTTTTTTTTTTTTTTTTTTGAGACAGGGTCTCACTCTGTCACTCAGGCTGGAGTGCAGTGGCACAATCTGGGCTCACTGCAACCTCTGCCTCCTGGGTTCAAGCAATTCTCC